TCTCATTTCTCTCTCTCTCTCTCTCTCTCTTGCTAGTTCTGGTGCTTGAACTCTGGGCCTGGGCACTGTCCCTAGGCTCCTTTTGCTCAAGGCTAGCACTTTATCACTTGAGCCATAGTGCCACTTCTGGTTTTTCTATGATTAATTGGAGATAAGAGTCTTACAGACTTTCCTGCCCTGGCTCACTTCAAGCCTTGACCCCTTCAGATGTCAGCCTCCTAAGTAGCTAGGATTACAGGAGTGAGCCACCAGTACCTGGCTCTATTCTCATTTCTTTAGACCAGTCTACTGGAAATCTGTTCACTTGAACTCAATGGCAATTCACATAATCAGAATAGAGGTTTTAGAGAAGGAAGGAATTATTATTATTATTACTATTATTATTATTATTGCCAGCCCTGGGATTTGAACTCAGGGATTAGGTGCTATCCCTAAGCTTCTACCACTTGAACCACTTCTGGCTTTTTAGAGTAATTTATTGCCATTAAGAGTCTCATGGATTTACCTGCCTGGGCTTGCTTCAAACCATGATCCTGAGATCTCAGCCTCCTAAGTAGCTAGGATTATAAGTGTGAGTCACTGGCACCCAGCTGGAAATACTAATTTTGCTAGGCAAAATGCAATGAGCTGCTAGATTTTTCTTCCCCACCCCCCAAAACCCGGAACTCAAACTTTTGATCTGATGCTTTTACTCACTGGCTGATGATCTACCACATGAGCCACACCTCCAACCCCTGAGCTGCTATCTTGAAAGCACAGTCCCACTCGCAAGGGGAAGAGTATGAGTTTTAAAGGAGTGTGCAGGAATATGGGCTCTGGAATATATGATCTGGGACTGTGATAGCCTTGAGACTGCTTGATTCTCTGTGTGCTGGTGTTAGTTCTTGGAGTTGAATGTCTTGGTGTCCTGGATATCCATACTTACACTTCTAGGGATATAAGGAGAAAAGTGTGATGACCTTTTCTGGAATGGTAAAGATATTCTTTAGTTCCTTCCTGTGAGACAGTTAGGGAGAGAGAAAAGACAGAGAGGAAGATGAGAAAACTAATGACTAAGACATTTTAAACTTGCATAACTGAAAGGCTGATTAGTAAAGTGTGTTGGTTATTGGGCTAAAACTATAGTTGTGAGCATGTCTTAAGTGTCTTCCTGTTACAATATGGTCTATGTAGAGATCACATTTTCCTTCTTAGGCTTTCTTTCTTTGTGTGTGCTGGTATTGGGGCTTGAACTCAGTGCCTTGTATTCTCTCACTTAGCTTTTTCTTTTTAGGCTGACACTACCACCAGAACCACACCTACACTTCCAGCTTTTTGCTGATGAATTGGAGACTGGAGATAAGAGTCTCAAGGACTTTTCTGCCTGGGTTGACTTTGAACTGTGATGCTCAGATCTCAGCTTCCTGGTAGCTAGGAATACAGGCAAGAGCTACCAGCACCTGGCCAAATCTTAATATTTTTGCCTGTCTTTTCTTCTAAAAACCATAGCATTCTCAGCAAAATCCATGTGACTTGAGTGCCTGACATGCAAAGAACTATCATTGTTGGATTTCCCTCTGTGATCTCCTGCTTCCCATCCTACTTCTAGTCCCAATGTCTCCTATACTAATAGTGTATTAAAGAGTCAAAGATTATCAAAAGTTTTGTCTTATTTTGGTGCCTGCAGAAAAATACCCAGATATTTTCCAGTAGTGAAAAATCTAATGGAATGAGACCAAACAAAGACATTAGCTAGCTTTTCCCAGAAACGCAGTTGCCACCTGGCCTGTTGGCCAATCCTGAGATTGTTTGATGAGCCCTTAAATCTAAACCTGTGTTCATTTTATATAAACTCAGAATAAGGACTTCCCCTGCCAAAGACTGTCTCAATTAACTGAGTTCAAAGCACAGGCATAACAGATCTATGCATTAAAGAGAGTCAGATACCCCATAATTGTTGAGAGATTGGTCCAAAGGCAGCAGATACTCAAGGGTTTCATAATAATGTATTGTTTGCAAAGTGTTGTCTCCCATAACTGCCTGTCCTTCCTGCTTGTCTAAAAAAGACAGTATTGTTTATTACAGACAAATAGCTTCTAACACTTCTGCAAATCCTCTTGGCATGAACATAGAATTGACAATTCAGAGATTAAGAGGCCTAGGGTTTGTTAAGTTAGAAGTAGAACTAGAGCCAAGACGTAGAAGTTGGGTAGTAAATCATTAGCGATTTCTTTCTCCAACAGACTAGGTAGTTGAAGGCTTTCTCTTATAAGAAGATAAGTTCTCTTAAGATATTCTGAAAATGAGTGTCATTAGATATATTTAGTTTCTCCTTCACTGTTGGTACTTTTTCAGTAAAATTATTTTTTCAGTAAAATTGTGTGTGTGTGTGTGTGTGTGTGTGTGTGTGTGTGTACATGCACACACACACGTCCTCACTCAAGGCTGATGTTTTGACACTTGTGCCACAGCTCTAACTTCTGACTTTTTGCTGGTTAATTTGAGATGAGTGTTTCATGGACTTCCCTGCCTGAGATGGCTTTGAACTGTGATCCTCAAATCTCAGCCTCCTGAGTAGCTAGGATTATAGGCATGAGCTATCAGTACCCAGCAAATTATTATTTTTAAACACCGTACACATTTTTGAGTTTTATTTGCTGGGGATGCTGCTGAGGTCAAGGGTTTATGGATGAGTATGTAAGAGCAGCTGCTGGAAGAGCAGCAGTCTGGTAAAGAGACAAGTAAGTACAGGAAGGGAAAAGTCCATAGAAAAATGTTCTAAATACACAGAAATAACAGGGGATTGCCTAACTCTTCGGAATGGAGCCAACAAGACTAATGAAGAGGTGAACACTGAATAGAATGGAGAGTTTGAGAAAGAAGGGAGATGTAGACCCAGGGAACAGGTACCAAAAGCCTGTAAGTGACTATATTAGAGGGGAAGCGTTAGGGAATGGCACTAGTGAACCCTTGAAGAATTTTGGGGTCAGATTGAGGGAGCCTGGTATGGAATGCAATTGTATTCAAATGATTGCAAGTGACAAAATTTTAAGTCAGGTGTTAAGAAAAAAAAAGAATTGAATTTATAAAACATCCTTAGAAAGCTCCCAATTGGATCAAAATATTCAGTGTTATGGTCATACTAAGAGACTTAATTCTTTATTTAAACAGGATTGGACATAGAGTTATAAAGTGTAAACCTTTAGAAAGATAGAAATGAACTAGGAGACTTTGTGAAGAATATAGGCATTGGATATAAACAGACATGAGTGTTTCTGTTTATGTGTCTCTAGCTAAACTTTTTTTTTTTTGGCAGGGGGGGGGGGGTCCGGTTGTGGGGCCTGAACGCTGGGCCTGAGCGCTGTACCTCAGCTCTTCAGCTCAAGGCTAGTGTTCTACCACTTGATTCACAGCGCCACTTCCACCTTTTTTCTTTTTGCTTATGTGGTGCTGAGGAATCGACCCCAGGGCCTCATGCATGCAAGGCAAGCACTCTACTACTGAGCCAACTTCCCAGCCCTCTCTAGCTAAACTTTGCAAAGACAAAAAACCTGTATCAGTCAGCATTTTGTTACTGTAACAGGTATCTGAGATAATCAGCATACAAAAGGGTTTCCTAGGGCTTGAGTTTGAAAGGTTTCAGTCCATTTTAATCAGTATTTACTTAATGCCAACTGCAAACAAGTTTCTGTTCGGAAGCTCCTTTGGGCTCATGTTAAATTTAACTTTTTAAATGACCTTTCTTTGGTGTTTGTGCTGGTGTAGGCCCTTGCACTCAGGACCTTATACTTTTGCTTGGCTCTTTTGTTCACTGCTGGCACTTTCCTACATCTCAAGTTCCAGCATTTTGCTGGTTAGTTGAAAATGGCTCAGATTTGTCTGCCCCAGCTGGCTTTGAATCTCAATCCTCAGATTTCAGCCTCCTGAGTAGCTAGGATTACAAGTTTGAGACATTGGTAGCTGGCTCACATGTAATCTTTTGTACTGCTGTGAAAACTATATATCTTATGTAAGAGAGCCAAAGATTGGAATCCTGTGGAAGGAAAGTTTTGTCTTGTTAGTGGAATGATTATATCTACATCATTCTGTATAGAAATGAGGAAATAATGCTTGTATTGTGGTGGATTGAGAAAATAGGTCTAGGACTAGTGTGGCTCAAGATAACATATGCCTAGCATGTATGACAGACCCTAGGTTGTATAACTACCAAGATTAACACATACATAGGATCATTTAATTTGGTGACAGACTTGTTTTAGGTAAAGAGAACAAGATTCTAGAATACCCAGGGCAAAGACAGTGGGAGGCAGGACTGTGGTATTCCTCATTAAACTCAATTCCTGTTCCTTAATCCTGTCCTTCTAAGTTAGCCACTAGTGCTCATTTTGCTTCGGTTTACTTCACATCTTTCTTCATAGGTCTGTAGTCCACTTGCAGATTCCAGCTCTTCAGGACCTGGGAGGCCTGCGCCCAATGGTTATTAAATACATTTGACTTCTGTTAAGAAAATCATAGACTGCTATATAAAGATGGGCAGATTTAAGGTGTTATCTTAAATACCTATTCTGGAATTTGCATTTCAGCGGGACCTTCAAAATTTGAGTTGGAAGGACAGAATTCTGTGGGGATTCAGGTATCAACCAGAGCTCAGAAGCTCTCTCTGCCTTCCCATTGTGAAGCATTGCAGTCTGCCTCTGTCACAAGACAGCACTAAATTGCATTGTGCCTTCTTCCCTACTTCAGCAACCTTCCACATCTTCTGGTTAGGAAGGCACAGCACTGAGCCAACAGACAGCTTTCTAGGTTCAGAATCATAGAGCGTTCAGAGCTAAAGAGAACCCACAGGAGCCTATTCATTTTCTAAATGATGTCTAACTTTGTTTTTCCTCTCTATGTTCTCTACCCTTTTACAAGTTTTAATACCAGGGATATTTTCCATTTTCTTTGTGCTAAGCAAAATTGGATGGTATAGGAAATATTTGAAGGATCAGTAATGTTATTTATTTTCCTTTTAGATCTTGTCGAAACCTTCTTCACCTGCTCATCTGTGGGAACAAGGAATGAAGCAGAATTTTGCCTTTGACAATATTGGCTATGAAGGGAGTTTGGAAGGCACTGGCTCATCTCTGACCGCCACCAGAACGATCAGCATTCTGGGCATGACTTCCCAGTCATGTGTTAAGTCCATTGAAAGCAGGGTTTCTAGCCTGAAAGGCATTGTGAGCATTAAGGTTTTGTTAGAACAAGGCTGTGCATCAGTGACCTATGTGCCAGCTGTCATGAGTCTGCAACAGATTTGCCATCACATTGGGGACATGGGCTTTGAGATCAGCATTGCAGAAAAAAAGGCTGCCTCTTGGCCCTCCAGGTCCTCACCAGCCCAGGAGGCAGTGGTCAAGCTCCGGGTAGAGGGCATGACCTGCCAATCCTGTGTCAGCTCCATTGAAAGTAAGATCGGGAAACTGCAAGGAGTAGTGAAAGTTAAAGTCTCCCTTGGCAACCAAGAGGCAGTCATCACTTACCAGCCTTATCTCATCCAACCTGAAGACCTCAGGGACCATGTCAATGATATGGGGTTTGAAGCTGCTATCAAGAACAAAATGGCTCCCTTAAGCCTTGGACCTATTGATATTGGCCTGTTAGAAAGCACCAACCCAAAGCGGCTGACAGTTTTTGCTAACCAGAATTTCACTAACTCTGAGGCCTTGGGAGACCAAAGAAGCCATATGTCTACCGTTCAACTTGGAATCAATGGAATGCACTGTAAATCTTGTGTTTTGAATATTGAAGGAAATATAGGCCAACTCTCAGGGGTTCAAAATATCCAAGTGTCCTTGGAGAATAAAACTGCTCAAATACAGTATGACCCTTCTCAGATCACCCCTTTGTCCCTGAAGAGGTCCATCGAAGCACTTCCACCTGGGAACTTTCAAGTTTCTCTTCCTGATGGAGTAGAAGGGGGTGAGCCAGAGAGAAGGTTTTCCAGTATTTCATCTCCTGACGCCACGCAGAGAAACCAGGCCCAAGGCACATGCAGTACTTTGGTGCTCACCATCACTGGAATGACCTGTATGTCCTGTGTACAGTCCATTGAAGGCATGGTTTCTCAGCGGGAAGGGGTGCAGCAAATATCAGTCTCTTTGGCTGAAGGAACTGGAACTATTCTTTATGATCCTTCTGTAATAAATCCAGAAGAACTCCGAGCTACTGTAGAAGACATGGGATTTGAGGCATCAGTGATGGCTGGTATGTAGCTGATATGTATTGGAAGCATGTCCTGGGGTTGTTTCTTGGTGTTTGTTACTATAACAGAGTACCTGGGTGGTTGCACAGGTGAGCCCTGCTTTACAGGTTGACAGTTAGTAAAGCTCTGTAACCTGTCCAAATTTGTTAAAATCTCAGGATAGAGGAAATGGAATTTCTGACTGCAGCCTTTTGAGTAGCTGACACATACTGAAGTCCTTGCATTTGGGTGGCTTTTCAAGAGAGAATTATGATTCTGTGTTCTGAAATACAGCACTGTGGTAACATTAGGCCCTTTTCTTGCCCAAGAGACCCTTGTTAGTTGCTCAGAAGATATTTCTGGTACATAAAAAACAAAATAGTAAATGCATCAGAAACTCAGCATTTAGAGGCCATTCTCTTCAAAGGGAGGATTAAGGGTAGGTTTTAAGGATGACTTCACTTTGATGGCTGTACAGGAAGAAAACTAGGAGGGATAGTTTCACAAGCAGGGATGACCCCTGACTTCCCCTCCTATGCTGGCATGTTACCAGGCAGAATTTCCCAGGAGGCCACCTGCCTGCTACTTGTTCTTGGTTCACTGGCCTGTGTTCTCCTTTTCATTTCCCTCAGAGTCCTATGATACAGCATCATTTGAACCCTTTTTGCCTGCCCTGAACTAAGCTCTGTGCTAGTTATAGGATTGTGCATGGGGAAGACATTCTGTCTTAAGAGCTTTTGTTGTTGTAAGGCAAGGTAGAGAGAATAAACCATTGCTGTGCAACAGGTTGAGTCCTGCATGAGCTAGACTTGTTTTCTCCAGAACAGTGAAGTAGAGGGAAAGGGTGGGAAAAGGCAGAACAAAAAAAAGTGGAGAAAGCTTATACATCCTGGACAGTGTCCTAGTCTGGAAGCTCTAGAAAAATGCAACATGACCTAAGCAGAGGGCAGAAGGCTGGTTCTGGGCTCAGGGTCAAGAGGTCAAAGATGAGAACCACCAAGCCTGTGGTCAGCAGGAAGGCTGTGAGTGATGGGAGAGGGATCTGAATTGGATGCAGAGACCTGGATGAGCCCTCCCAGATGTGGAAGGTGGGGCTGGAGATTCAGATTTGAGTGTAGAATCTGGGGAGGGGAATTCACCAGTGAGTGACTGGAGGAGAAGGGCTGCACAGGCAAAGATGGGAAGTATGTCTCAGAGTGAACTAGGGAGAGGCCACCGGAGGCCCCAGCCCTGGTACATGGTACATGCTTTGGTACATGGGAAGGTGGGAGCCCAGCCTGTGTGGTAGAGGCCATCAGTATAACTTAGGCAAGGCAGAGGTGAAGAGGGGGACAGAGAGGCTAAAGATGAGGAGGGAAATAGTGCTTTCTTTTTTTGAGGTAGGATCTCATTATGTTATACAAACTGACCTCAGGCATCTGGGCTCAAATGATCCTCCTGCTTCAGTCTCCCAAATAATTGGGACTACAGCTGGAGGGGCTCATTTGGTGAGAGACAGCTCTGTGGATGTTTGTGCTTTAGCCATTTAGTTTTCAGATCCAGGGCCTGTATGTCCTTCTAATCTGTAGAGTGGAGTAGAAGTAGGCAGCCTCAGAGCCTATAGTTAGACGTCCTTGCTACTGGGGAGACAGCCCAAAGAGGGAGAACTGCTTGTAGTACCCAGACAAAGCTTATCTGGCAAGGGATGGCAACTCTTTGGTTTTCCATGTCCTGTTAGCCATGTTAGAGTTTGTGTCCTTGAAAAAGTTTTCTCTCTTGTGATACTTTCCTCTTACCCTTTGAAGACAGCACACCCATCATTGTAGGGAACAGGTAAGCCATTCTTTGCCCTTGGTACCAAGTTTTAGGAAGGAGTGGTTTTAGTTTCTTTTTTTTCCCACTGTCACTACCCCCTGGAAAGAAATCTTTTTTATTTTTTAAATAAAAGTAAATAAAGAAAACAATAGCACAGTAGATTTTGAACTCAAAAGGTAAGAAATACAACAGTCAGTACCTGCTGTTTGGTCTCAAGTATAGTATTTCAACAACAGTACCCTCAGCCTTTTGGTAGCAAACAAGGAAATGACATTGAACTACATATTAACAAAATAATTGGCTGAGTATACTTAGAAAGAAAAGAAGTAATTTTCATTGGGCAGAATGTGGAGAAATGGATTTATTGAGACCCAAAAGGTACTTAGGATTTCAAGTTTAGCAAATAATAATGTAGAATACCCAATTGGATTTGAATTTGATGTAAACAGTGAATGCTTTCTTTAATATAAATAAAGAGCATTGCATATAAACTTGCACAACAGATTATTTGTAGTCTGTCTGAAATCTAAATTTGACTACCTTGTGTTTTCCCTGGCAACTTTAATTCAGGGTTAAGCCATTAGGATGCTGATGACTATCCTTTATGACCTCTTACGTGACCCTAAAAAGTGTATTATAGCCCAGGTGCCAGTGGCTCATACCTGTAGTCCTAGCTACTAAGGGATGCTGAAACCAGAGTATCAAGGTTCAAAGCCATCCCAGGCAGAAAAGTCCAAGAGACTGTACTTTAATTACCTGAACAAAAGTCAAAACTGGAGGTTTGGCACAAGTAGTAGAGCATCAGCCATGAGCAGAAAAAGCCCAGTGAAAATATGAGGCTCTGAAATTAAGCTCCAGTACATGCATGCATGCATGCACACAATATATATCCTCAAATGATTGCACACAATTTGCCAGTTAATATGTAGAGTTCATTAAGAACTATTATCAGTAAAAGTCACTTCCATCTTTCTGCCTTATACAATTGCGGTTTTAGAAAAATTATCCCAATGGGCCCAGTCATGTCCCATCAATGTTATTAAAAATGAGGTACCTTTCCTCATTTCCTGGTTAGAGAGATATGGTGATTGGAGGAAGATTTGGGATTTCTAGCTTTGAAGACAGGGGTATGCTATATGAACCTGAAAATGCAAGTGGTCTTTTAGCTGCTCAAAAAGGCAGGACTATAAGAAGTAATTTATATGTGGTCTTTAAGCCACTAAGTTTGTAGTAATTTATTACAGTAACAATAGGAAAGTAATTCTGATATATTTCAAGATGCAGAGTAGTACTCTTCAAGAGTTGTTCATCTTATTTATTCTAGGTAAATTAAGCTTGGCACAAAGATAGACAAAAAATATCAGCTAATTTATGGCAAAGGTATCACTGGAACCTTCTCAAATACCACTGGTCTTTTCAGTCAGTGGATTTGGATCATAATGGTTGGGGTCAAAACTGTTACACAAAAAAATAGTTGAATGTATCAGAGACTTGAGAGTAGAAGTCTGTTAAAACACTAGCTCTTCTAGAAGTAAATGTCATGAGTACTTTTGTGATGTTGAGGTAGACATCTATTAAGAGAGCATAAAAAGTACTATTAAATAAGATTGATAATTGGATTATATTAATAATCAGGATATGTTGTTTGCTAAAAGACACCATTAGAAGGGTGATAACACAAATCACAGACAGGGAGGAGATATTTGCAATGCATATAATTGACAAAGGAGTCATATCTTGATTACATAAAGAACTTGTGCAAACAATAGGACAAAGGCAAATATCTCAATAAAGCTGTGGTTCTCATGGAGAGGGAGTCAGACCTCAACTAGTACGAATGAAGTACTGGCCACAGTTCAGACCTGGAGTTAACCAGACCCACATCAAGCTCACTTCATTACTTTGAGATACATTAATTTCTTGTGATTCATTTCTTCATCTATAAATAGGGATAATGGTATTTAACATACAGAGCTATATTAAGAATTAGGGAGGTTATTATACGTAAAGTGCTTTTGCAGAGTACCTAGTGAGTCATTGCCATCATCATCACCATCAACATCATCATTATTGTTAGCAGTAGCATCTAATTACAATGTTCAGCTACTCAGAACAGTCAACCCTGAAGAATTGGTATGCTTTCCTGGATCTGTAATTATACTTCGTTGTCTCTGGGCACCTCTCCAGTAACTTTAAACTGAATATTTTCAAGCTTGAATTTTCCTATTCTGAAAAACAAAATTGCGATGAATTGTCTAATCTGAATGATTTTTGACATTTTGTTACAGAGAGTTATTCTACCACCCATCTTTCTGGAAATCACAGTGCTGGAAATTTCATGCTGCCAACAACAAGCAGCACCCCTGTGCCTGTGCAGCAAGTGATTCCTCATGCCAGAAAGTTTTCTCAGAACAACAGTCCAGGCCACTCATTAGATACCCCACTACCCACCAGATCAGCAGCCCCACAGAAGTGCTTTTTACAAATCAAAGGCATGACCTGTGCATCCTGTGTGTCCAAGATAGAAAGAAATCTTCAGAAAGAAGCTGGTAAGAGATCTTTACCCATGTTGAACTTGGGAATGATGTATATAAACTGTATTCTCATCTTAGAATCTCCATTGACTGTTTCTTAGTAGTTCTAAAAATCTGGCAAGTTCATCATAAGGTAATATAGGGCACTGGTGGCTTATGAATGTAGTCCTAGCTACTCAGGAAGCTGAGATCTGAGGATCAATAGTTCCAAGCCAGACTACACAGGAAAGCCTATGAGATTCTTATCTCCAATTAACCACCAAAAGCCAGAAGTAGAACTGTGGCTCAAGTGGCAAAGTGCCAGCCTTGAGGGAGAAGCTAAGGGACAGTGCTCAGGCCCTGCATCCAAGCCCCAGGACAGGAACACACACACACACACACACACACACACACACACACACACACACACACACACACACACACACACACACACACACACACACACACACAATAGTAGAGATGCTGGTTCAGCATTCAGCATTCTTGGACAATGGGTGTTTTGTTTAAATAGTTTGGGCTAGGTGCTGGTGGTTCATGCCTGTAATCCTAGCTACCCAAAAGGCTGAGATATGAGGGTCACTGTATAAAGCCAGCTGGGGCAGGAAAGCACATGAGATTCTTATCTCCAATAAACTACTAAAAAGCATTTGTGGAGCTGTGGCTTAACTGGTAGAATACTAGCCTTGAGCAAAAGAAGCCCAGGGACAGCATCCAGGTCCCAAGTACAAGCCCCAGGACCAACACACACACACACACACACACACACACACACACACACACACTCACACACTCACAACGAATAGTCTGAGTAAGTTAAGTAGTTGAGTAAATAGTGTGTCTGAGTAAGTTTGCCTTGTAAAATCAATTTAAAGCACATGGTACATTCTATGGTTATTCTCAACTAGCTTGTTCTAGTATTCAACATTCCCTATCCCCATCCATTAACCTTTTATAAAATGAACAAAGAACTTTCATTTTGTGTCTAAGTTCCAGTTTCACATATTTTGTCTGTCCAATTGTCCTCACAAGCCATGGAGTTTTATGAAAATGCCAGTTTTGTCCACCTACCCACATTTCCAATACTGTCTCAAGAACAAAAGTACAGCAAAAATCCTGTCCTTATGTGTTTGTAAATGCTTTAATCATGACTCTACCTGACCCAGTGGATCTTTGTATCTTTCTGCTCTTAATTCCCTGGCCTTTAACCTTCAATTAGACTAATATGTTTTCTTGCCTCTTGTTCATTGTGTATAAAGCTTTCTGATCTCAGCATTCAGTGTTACAGGAGGACTTGTCCCCATGGACTGGCAGCTACTCATGAAGTCTATAATTTCATAGCCTGTGTTCCTGACTTCAACTTCTTGTTTTTCCCTTATTGTAGATTTTCAGAAGCACATCATTCATTTCATTTACTTACATGTGGCTCTTTTTCCCCTTCAAACTGACAATACAGTATTCCTAGCAAGATGGTTTCTGTGGTTACTTTTTTTAAAATGCCATTCCCGGATCTTGAACTCAGAACAAGTACTGTCTCTGAGCTTTTTTGCACTCTACCACTTGAGCCACAATTCCACTCTGGCTCTTTGGTAGTTAAATGGAGATAAGAGTCTCACAGACTTTCCTGCCTGGGCTGGTTTTGAACCACAGTCTTCAAATCTCAAGCCTCCTGAATAGCTAGAAGTACCAGAATGAGCCATCCATACCTTGCTTGGGGTTACTTCTCCTTTGCTCAAAGTCTAATATTAGAAATGAAGAAGTGGGGCTGGGAAGGTGGCTTAGTGGTAGAGTGCTTGCCTTTTATGCCTGAGGCCCTGGGTTCGATTCCCCAGCACCACATAAGCAAAAAGAAAAAAGCCGGAAGTGGCGCTATGGCTCAAGTGGTAGAGCGCTAGCCTTGAGCTGAAGAGCTGAGGGACAGCGCCCAGGCCCAGAGTTCAGGCCCCATGACCGGATCCAAAAAAAAAAGAAATGAAGAAGTATTTATTCCTTGCATCCCAGTATTAGGGGAAAAAAAGCACATCTTTTTCATAACAGAGGTTACATAGTTACAGACCTCATCCCTCACTTTGATGCGTGCAGATGTGGGTATTACTAGGGCTTCAGCATTTTGGGGGCCTGGGTAGACATGCAAAATCTCAAACCCCATCGTAAGCCCACTGAATCACCATCTATTTTAGCAAGACAGATGACTCAAATGTCACTCTCCCCCCCTTTTTTTTGGCCATTCTGAGGTATTAATTCAGGACTTCCAACTTGCTTGTTTTGCTTTAATAATATTTTAGATAGTGTCTTGCATTTTTGCCTGAGACTAGCCTTAGATGGAGATAGTTCTACTAGTCCTCCTTCATAGCTGGGATTACAGACATACCACCACTCTCTCAAGTAACTGGAATTACAGACATGTCCTACTATGCCTGGCCTATAGATGTTTGAGAAGCATTTTATCCTAGAAGAGTGGTTCTCAATCATGACTGTATGTTAGAGTCACAAAGACTTTTTTCCCTTTTCTTCAAGCAGCAAGGTTTGAACTCAGAGCCTGGAGCTCACTTAGCTTGGTTGCTTACTGCTGATGCTCTACCACTTGAACTATAATACCTCCAGACTGGCATTTTAGATGAGTCGCTCAGAACTTTTCTGCCTTGCCTGGCTTTAAACAATGATCCTCTGGGTCTCATCCTCCTAAGTAGTTAGCATTACAGGCATGAACCACTTTCACTCAGCTTTCTTTTAAAACATGGCTTTTAAAAACATGTCTGGTGCCCATCCTAAGAGACATTTACTCACTTTGTCTGGGTAAAGTGTCAGATATTGCTGTTCAGAGTTCTCTAAATGATCCTCATATACAGCAAGATTTGAGAACTATGGCTCTAGGAGCTCCTGTAGAGATTTTTTTTATGTGTTAGACTATGTTAACCATGTCATCAAACATGTTGCCCAGAGTCACAGCCATGACCTAATGGTTCCAGGTATCGTCTCTGTATTGGTTGCCTTGATGTCGGGAAAGGCAGAGGTCAAGTACAACCCGGAAGTCATCCAGCCACCCACAATAGCTCAGCTCGTCCAGGACCTGGGCTTTAATGCCACAGTCATGGAGGACAAGATCTGTTCTGATGGTGATATCGAGATGATTGTAAGTATGGAGGCTCTGGCAGCAGTTGTCCTCATGACTGAGTTTTCCCATCTAGGATAATTTCTGGTGGTTCATGGGTTTGGGTTTTGTGGGGTTTTTTTTGACATGTTTGTTTTGTGAAGGAAAGTCACTTTGTTAGAATGTCTGAGGAGGCCCTCCTACCACATACACTCAGGGTCAGGAGGAAGAAATGTCAAGGCACAGGAGGTAGAGAAAAGAGAAGTAGGGAGGGGGCTGTGCTAAGTATGGCAGACTGGAGAAGATTGAGTGAAATCACAATCCTTCAAGCCTGAAGAGAAACTCTGCTGTCTGTAGATGTTTCTAGACAGAATAGGTGAGTTCTTGGAGGTAGCTAGTGCCATTGAATGACAGATGGGCTAGAGGTATGGCTTAGTGTAGAGTATTAGCCTAACATGTACAAGGTCCTGAGTTCTGTACTTTGTCACACAAAACACACAGAAATAGAGGGGCCCGGAAGCATATGGGTGTTCAAAAGATCATTAATTAGTGTCCAAAGTAACCCGAAGCACTCAATCTGAAGTGAATGCCTCAGGTGTGCTTGCTCCCAGCTGTGTTTGGGAGGGTGGCTGTTCTCTGCCCCTATTTCAACTTGTAGTCAACAAGTCATTGAAAGCAATAGATAATCCTGGTATTTATAGTATGCTTTGTTGAAAAGCACTTCTGAACAAAGCTATTTTTGCATCAACAAAGAAAGACTTAGAAGAAACCCCCAAAGAATTGAGCAATGCTGTTTTACTGAGGTGAATGGGTCCCTTGCTTCTTGATGTACTTAGTCACTACCATTAATGGTGAGTATATGTTTTTTAAAAGAAAAAGTACTGAGGACATGAATGGCACACTAAGTTCCTGTGTTCTCAGTTGAACAAACAAACCCTCTACTGGGAGCTGGAGGGCAGTGTTCATACTTGCTGGGCTAGAGGTGAGGGTCCCTGCTGCAAACCTCCAGGACCACATGTGAACTCCTTGGGCAATTCAGACTACTATATGGAAAACTCAAATCAAGAATATTACTGAAAGCTGGTCACCAGTGTCTCACACCTATAATCAATCCCTGCTACTCAGGAGGCTGAGATCTGAGTATTCAGTTCAAAGCCAGCCTGGCAGAAAAATCCACAAGCTTCTATCTACAGTTAGCAAAAAGGCTGGACTAGGGGTGTGATGCAAGTGATAGAGCCCTAGTTCTAGGCTTGAATCCCTGAGTTCAAGCCTGGTTACCAAAAAAAAGTATTATTGAAAAAGATGGGGATTTTCTTTTTGAAAACTATTTAGCAATAGTTGTCATCACATTGTCATAAACATTGTTTGTGAACATCTATATTGATTGATTTGTTGCAGGGCCAGTCCCAGGGCTTCCATACGTACTATTCAAACTCTCTGTCATTCAGCTAAATAACTTCTGTATTTAGTTGGTTAGTATTCTAGGGAATAGTGAACATGCATATCAAGTGAGTGGATCATTTAGATTTGACTAGTTCATATTCCAGGAATGGCAGGTCACATGTACAAGCCCTATATCTCCTATCAGGATACACAGAATGGTGTGGCAGCGGTACCATAGACTGTGGTTAGAATTCTGGCCCACTTGCTGCAGAGATGTTCATTCATCTATAGTCTCTAAAGAGGTGTTTCACAATGCAGACCACAGTGATTCAGAACAGACTCTGGGAATGTTTTGTAGGGAAGGAAGGATTGTAGCTGGCACTCAACTCTGCCTGATATGACTCTGAAAGGCTCCTCTCAGTCATGAGCCTGTGGCTCCTGTCCTATCTTTCAGATCACAGGAATGACCTGCGCTTCCTGTGTCCACAACATAGAGTCCAAGCTCACCAGGACAAATGGCATTACCTATGCCTCTGTGGCCCTGGCCACCAGCAAAGCCCATGTGCAGTTTGATCCTGAAATCATTGGTCCACGGGACATTGTAAAAATTATTGAGGTAATTCATTCATGAAACAATTCTTACCTTTGTGGGAAAATGAGAAAATATAGTTAACCAGAAAGGAAAAAAATGAGGAAGTTGAATCAGAGACAAAGGTCAGTCATTGGGAATTAATGCGAGGAGATAAGTACCCAATAGTCTGAGGGAGAATGTCAGTCAATGAGTAAGAAAAGGATGAGGGGAGAAGACATTTTGTTGTTTTTAATTTCAAATGTTTGTTGAGAAGCATCAGTGTCACCAGGATACCTGGTATGTAGGGTTAACTTAGCTAATGCCAATTTAAAAATATTATTTATGCCTTTGCCAGCGATCTATACATAGAAAGGATATTAGCATTGGACAGAATGATTTACCAGTTTGTCTTTCTGCTAGGTCTGTATTATTAGAAAAGTTTGGTCACTTTTACTCTGGTATTAAAATATCATGCCTGTCATACCTCTTTCTTCTCTCAGTTTGTTAACAGACCTGCATTCCTCTTTAAGGTCAAGGTGACAGCACACCATGAAAGAGTGAGCATGGGTGGTGATTGAAGTGGGTTAAGCCAATCAAACTAAACAAGATTAATTTGTAACAGCTAAATGGCTAAATGATGTTTAGTGAGAACAACTAGTTCGGAAATAAAACATCCTACAGCAGGCTTCATGCCATGCTCTTCCTAATTTCTCTGCGTATGTGGCCTTAGAGAGAGCTGCTGCCTGTTTATGGGCCAGCCCAGCTCTAAACAGGGCAGTATTATTGTTATATTGCCTCCTCTCAGAGGCTGGCCACAAATCTGCTTCATCAGTTAGGACAGAAGTGCCCAGCTCTCAGGTTCTGAATGGCACTTCTACCCAGATGCAGTTGCTTCCAAGAACAGGAGCCATGGCATGGGTGAGGCTAAGGCACACACTCATATAGCAAATGGGAAGGAGAGGCCAGGCAGAGAGGAGGAGGGAGTTCAGATATGTCTGTTACCCTTTCTGGTTTCTAATACCCTCACCAGACTCCACTCAGCCTGCATCATGGTAAAGACCCCTCTGTTCTTACTTGAGAAATATTGGCATATTGCCTGGCCTCCATACCTACATCCTTCAGGCAGCTTTTCCTACTATAATTAGATGGTGAGAGGATCTAACTTACATGTCTTGGTTGTTTTTTTCTCACCATTTTTCATTTCCATGTGAGAACTCCAGGCCCAGCATTCTGAGGCCCCTATCTGTTCTGTACTTTGCTGGGGAGACATTTCCTGCTGAGAATTTCCCTGTGTATATTTATACAGGAGCACCAGGGACTTAGTTCTTCTCAATAGTTCTTCTCAATAGCACTGCCATTTTGAGCAAAATACTTAACTTCTCTGACCTTTGCTTTCTGTGACCTTAGCTTTCCTCTTACATGGGTGAAAGAACCAGATTACGAAGATATTTGGGATTTCTTAACTCAAAAGTTAGGAGTTTATAGGTCAACCTGATCAGCTTTGGGGCTTGGCAGAGTTACCTTACCAGGACCTAGTGTCTTAATTGTAGGGACAGGAGTTACCACTGGGCTCCATCTCCTTGGGCCTGGTATATGGTCTCCCAGGATAGATGGCATCAAGATTATCAGCCAGTGTGGGTTAAGGGCTTATAAGAGGAGAACCACTAGAGTCTCTGGGGGTACTTTGAAATGCACTTTCTATTTGCAGAGCTGGAAATGGTTGCTGCCACTGATGCATGTTTAACAAGTACCTCACCCTTCTTCCCCACCCTTCTCTTTTAATCACAAGGAAATTGGCTTTCATGCTTCCCTGGCACAGAGAAGGCCCAACGCCCATCACTTGGATCACAAGATGGAAATAAAGCAGTAGGTAGAACCAAAAGATAAAGTGCAGCCCTCATCTAAGTGTTCGTCTTCCCCTCATGCCAACTCTGTGGCTCATGATATGCAAATATTTTCATGCTTGTCCTTGCTCCCATGGTTCCTTCCACCTATATCAGCTGCCTTTACCCTTGGGTGGCACCTATCTGAAACAGTGTTGTCTGTAGATATTTCTGCAAGGATAGCAGTGTGCTATGTCTGCATTGCCCAGTGTGGCAGCCATTGTACCATGGCTAGTGAGAACTCAAAATACATCTAGTGTGTGTGTGTATGGAGTAGAATTTTATTAAACTTTCATTTAATTTTAACTAAGTAGTTAAATTTAAATGACTAATGTATGCACTGTGTTTAAATTGAAAGGGAAGAATTGAGGGGGGAAAGTTTAGCTTTTTTTCAGCTATTGTATTCTCAGACTTTATTTGCATGGTGGTTGTATGGTTGGAATGTCATGGGTGCTACGGCTAATGTGAAGTTTCAGACAGGTGCTGGACAGCCTCTCTATTCTCACTCAATTTTAAATATTTGTTTGAAAATTGAACATGAGCATTGACATTATGGTCCACTTCTGTAATGTTGACACTTAGGAGGCTCAGGCAGATGATTGCAAGTTCAAGACCAGTCTGGGCTACATAATGATATTCTGTCTCAAAGTCTATAAAGATTGTGCAGGTTAGCTTATACTAATACATACTGTTTTAATCTGGTTTTTCCTCTGGGGTCTGTTAAAGTGTGTTTTGAAAATTGAGTGGTAGGCAGCTATTGATGAAGGAATTGACCTCTTTAGGGCTGGATTCTCAGTTTCTGCCTCAGTTGCTTCTCCTATAGATTGGAGGTCACATATCAGCTATGTGAAGGCAGGGCTAGGCCTTAACATTTCCTGGCTATCTTTACAGTGATATGTAGACCTTTAGACTGTCCCTTGGATGGCAATGTGGTAAAGAGCTGTACTTTTGTTTTATCCCTTGGGTCTCTGCCCCAGATGTGTGACAAAACAAAGCCTTAAACTAAGTCCTCAGAAGACCTGCCTTACTCCATGTGCCTAGTATACCTTAATTGTCTGTGTGGTTGTGTTTTCCTTCCAGGTGGAAGAAGTCTTTCCTGTGCAGCCTGGTGTTTGGCATCCCTGTCATGGGCTTAATGATCTATATGTTAATACCCAGCAAGGATCCTCATGAAGCCATGGCCCTGGACCACAACATCATCCCAGGACTGTCCATCCTCAATCTTGTCTTCTTCATCTTGTGTACCTTTGTCCAGGTATGTATTAGAAAGCTGGTAAAACCTCTGCCCTCTGAGCATGGCTCATCTCTGAACTCTTCTGCTCACACAGTCCTTAGTTGGCAGTCTTCCTGTCCCGCCTCCAGACAGTTGCTGCCTTGTGACCAGCAGGTGATGTAGGGCCTGGTTTTGCTGTCTGTTTTCCCACTTGATTTGCAAAGGATCAAAACTCCCTGTGATATCCACCCCCTGCCTGCAAGATTGGTAAAGCTGTATGTCCCTAACTCCCTCTTCTCCCTCCCTTTTTCATGGTGTTGAATATAGAACCTAGGACCTCATACATACCAGGCAAGTGCTATGCCACCGAGCTACATCTCCAGACCTCATGCCCAAAATTTGTGTTTCCTGTTTAAGTTACCTTTGACATTAGAAGCAACAGCCAGATGCTCCTAGAACTCACCCTTTCCTTAAACATTCTATCTTTTTTTTTTTGGTTGTGGGACTTGAACTCTGGGCCTGGGCGCTGTCCCTCAGCTCTTCAGCTCAAGGCTAGCGCTCTATCACTTGAGCCACAGTGCTACTTTCAGTTTTCTGGTGTTTATTGAAGAGTCTGCCCCGGCTGGGTTTGAGCCACAATCCTTAGATCTCAGCCTCCTGAGTAGCTAGGATTACCTGTGAGAGCCACCAACACCCAGCTAAATGTTCTATCTTGTACAGCAGATGTGGCTCTTACCTTTGAGTAAATTAATCATTTAACAGCTACCAGCTTGGTAAAGATATCTGTTGTAGTAGTGATATTAAGGCCCCCAAGCATGTTTCTGAAGGAAACTCTGAATATATCTTAGAATATAAAACTAAACTCTTTAAGTTAATGATGGACTGTTGGGATTAGTTGAGGGCCAACATTTGTAGGCTGAAGTTTTTTTTTTTCTATATTTTATTTTCAATTACAAATATACTTTACATTTATTGTAATCAGTTCTATCCATTGCAAGTATTGGCCCAGTCCTGTTCCCAAGTGTTTCTGCAGCACACTTAGAAGTGGACTTATATCTTTCCAGGTCCCATGTATACTTGTATGTACATGAATACATATTGGCCTGTTAACCTGAAACACACTTGTGCTTGTTAATGGGTGCAGGACCATGTGAGAATACTGATGTATATTGGCTTTTTTCATTTATTCTCATATTGTGGGCATCTTCTATGCCAATGATTCACCGATAAAATATCTTCTCTTTTGAGACTGCATTACACTAATCTTATTTCAAGACTGTATTACATGTATCCATAAAATAAGTGAACTATGATTCTTTTGACCATTTTTATGACTCTCTTATCAGTGAACATTTATATCATGTTCTCTGGGTTTTAGAAGTCTTTTCCCACCCTTCATTTATATGGCCAGTAGTCCTCTAAATCATAAAGTAGGTTTTATAGGGAGCTTGAAGCAGGTCTCATGTTCAAAGCCAGCCTGGGACATACAATTAAACTCTATCTCAAAAAAGAAAATTAAGTTTCCTCAATGACAAATCACTGTGGCCAAAGTGATTTCTGATTTGCACAGATACCTAAAATGTTAGCTATCACCGGGGGGCAGGAAATCTACGCCCTGTTTGTTGACAAGTTTTCACTGTGCTTGGCTTCCAGTTCCTTGGTGGGTGGTACTTCTATGTTCAGGCCTACAAATCTCTCAGACACAAGTCAGCCAACATGGATGTGCTCATTGTATTGGCCACAACCATCGCCTATGTCTACTCCCTCATCATCCTGGTGGTTGCAGTTGCCGAGAAGGCTGAGAAGAGCCCTGTGACCTTCTTCGACACTCCCCCCATGCTCTTCGTGTTCATTGCCCTGGGCCGGTGGCTAGAACACGTGGCAAAGGTAGGTACTAGGTAAGATCCAAGTAGGTCCTTCAGAAATACAAACCTTAGTCCATCTGAGCCCTTCATAGAGAATTACTCATTGCACCTGATTTAGACTTAAAGAAATCTGAAACCTCCATATAATTAGGTGGTGTGGTCACTAATCTCCAACTTGGTTGCTACTTCTGAAATCCCAGCTAATCTGGTTAATTATGAAACCTTTGAACAGGTATATTGTGCAATGGAAAGAACTCTGACCTTCCTGGTCTCTTAGTCCTGAGTGCAGACTCATTTGTGTAGAGCCCACACCTCTGCCTCAGCTGCAGGCCATTTTTCACACCTGTGCTGTGCCCAGCATTGTAACAGAGCCTATATAAAAAGTAGGACTCAGGCCCTGGAAGAAATTCTGTTAGGGCTCCAAGAGAGATTCAGTTATTATCCTTCTGAAGTGGAATTGCTCAGGCTTTGCATGCTGTGTGCTGGCGACTACACAGCTGCCTGGTCACCCCTGTCCCCACAGAGCCTTGGTTGTGTGGTATGTCTGTGTTAAAGTCTCTCTCACCAGGGCTGCTCATCCACACCAGCACTTTTGAGCATGTTTGTGGGTGTGAGACTAGTCAGTAGCTCTCTTATCATAGTCTGCTTATTTCCTAGAGCAAAACTTCAGAAGCCCTTGCCAAACTCATGTCCCTCCAAGCCACAGAAGCCACAGTTGTGACCCTTGGTGAGGACAACTTAATCATCAGGTAGGTTGTATTTATCAGCAGAGCTTGAGATCAGTTTATGTTTCCATGGGTGGATTGGGTAGAGACATTGCCTTGAACCTTGCAAGAGTAGGTGAGGACACTCAATCCATAACATACTGCAGGTAATGGTTGAAGGTGGATGCTAAATGGTGAATGAGAGGTACAGACAGCTGACATTACAGGAATTAGGAGAGGAAGTCTGGTAAAAGGTGAAGAAGACTCCCCAGAGAACTTGGAACAACTTTCCTTGCAAGATGTGGAAGATTCCAGGATAGAGGCCATCAATCTGAAAGAGTAGTAGAAATGGGAGTAGTGTTTATCTTCCTCATGAGACTGTCTTATACCAAAGGTAATTATCAGTATCATTATTGCTGGAAGCCAAGCATGTTGGCACATGTCCTTAATCTGCTGTAGAGATAGGTCCTTGTCCCTTCATGCAGACTGTCAGAGTTTTCTGTACTAGCTAGTTCCTTTTAAAGGCTCAGGCCTCTTTGTCCCTCTGTCCTTTTGCCAGGACACCTGTCATTTCTTGGGTGGTGTAGCACTTATAGGTCTGACTACATAGCAGACTGAAATCCTTTGCTGCTGCTGCTGCTGCTTTGTCTGCTTGCTATGTGACCTTCATACTTATCCTGTGGGAGGCTGACCTCTAGGTTTCATTGTTGGACTGTATTCTGTTACAGGCTCACTGGGACATGTCATCTCTCTATATCTTCCAGCACCAGCTGTGTGGAGCTCATTATCAAACCTCCCTCCAGATCTCAGGATCACCTGCAGGGAGAGCTTTCTCTTGTAGATGGAGAGGGCTCCCAGCCTATCTGTCATCTCCTCGCCTTTCTATTACCACACAGCTTCCAGTGGACCTCTTGCTGCTCCTTCCCTTCCCTCATCCACACACACCTGACCTCCAGCCTCTTGATCCTCATTTCTCCATCTTCAAGGTTGCCACTATTTCCATTGCCCCATGCTGTTTACCTCTCTCTTTATCAGCCTTCTGCTTCCAGTTTGTCTGCTTCTAGATACCACTTCAAATAGGACCTTTCTTTTTTTTTCTTTTCTTTCTTTTTGTTTTTTTCGGTCAGTCATGGTGCCTGAACTCTGGGCGGGTACTGTCCCTCAGCTATTCAGCTCAAGGCTAGTGCTCTACCACTTGAGCTCAGCACCACTTGTGTTTTTTTCTGCTTATGTGTACTCAGGAATCGAACCCAGGGCCTCATGCATGAAAGGCAAGCACTCTACCACTGAGCCAGCTTCCCAGCCCCAAATAGGACCTTTCTTGAGAAATAAACCTACCTGTATTTCTCAGTGGCAGAAAGTCTGGCAGTGGTTCACCTTTTCTCTCCTTAGGGTAAAATTTGCTGTCCTCAACAGGCCAGGGAGACTCAGCTCTGCTCGCATCTGTTGCTCTGAGTAAAGCACATACAGTCATCCCTTGGTGTCAGTGGAAACTGATTCTTGGACCTATACAGACACTAAAACCTTCCCACACTCAAGTCCCGAATATAAAATGGAGTCATGTTTGCATATATACTCTATATACTCTTGTATATTGCCAATCATGCACCTAGGTGACTTAAAATACCTACTACAATGTATATGCCATGTAAATAGTCGCAACATTGTGTTATTTAGAGAATAATAAGAAAAGCCGTAGTACAAATGTAGGTTTTTTATCTTGAGTTTGTGTATGTGTTTATGTTGTTGTTACTATTGTTGATGGTGGGACCTGGAGCTTGATGCATGCCAAACAAGCACTCACCACTAAGCTACCTAACACAGCCCTTTACTGTATTTTTGGAGTGAAGTTAGCTTGCATCTGTGGGTATAGAACCCTTAGATACAGAGGGCAGCTGTGTAATGTGTCTTGTTCCATGGTCAGTCTAGAAGCTGACCTGGTAACACACAGGGAGGGGGGGGGGGTTGCTGGGAGTTGCTGTGTATGACCTGAGTAGCATCTATTGCAGAGAGGAGCAAGTACCCATGGAGCTGGTACAGCGGGGTGACATCATCAAGGTCGTGCCTGGGGGCAAGTTCCCAGTGGATGGGAAAGTTCTAGAAGGCAATACCATGGCTGATGAGTCCCTTATCACAGGTTAGGTGGCTTGTTCCATATTTTCTTCAGCAGTCAATAAGCCTTGTGATGCTGAGTAGGGCAAGCCAAGTGACCATGTCTCTTCTCCACTTCTAGGAGAGGCCATGCCTGTCACCAAGAAACCTGGAAGTGTGGTGATTGCTGGGTCTATAAATGCACATGGCTCTGTGCTGATTAGAGCCACCCACGTGGGCAATGACACTACTTTGGCTCAGATTGTGAAGTTGGTAGAAGAGGCTCAGATGTCCAAGGTAATGCTGAAACAGTGTGGTCCCTCATTTGAGAAGTTAATCTCAGTATTGAGTAGCACTGGTCAGTAAATGAGGCAATGAGGGAGCTGGGGGCCCTGCCCTCATCCACATGTGTGGTGCTTTATGTCTTCACTGTCCTAATTTCCCATGATCTTGATGTTTTATCTTCATAGGCACCTATTCAGCAACTGGCTGACCGCTTTAGTGGATATTTTGTCCCATTTATCATCATCATTTCAACTTTGACGTTGGTGGTATGGATTATAATCGGTTTTGTCGATTTTGGTGTTGTTCAGAAATACTTTCCTGTAAGTTGAATGCCTCAGGCAGTGTGGTTGTTTAATTTTAAGTTATATACTGCCATTAATCCTATTCTTCTGTGTCAGCTCATTGGGCATTAATTTTATATGTTTCATTTTGTTTACTTCCTTTATTGAAGCAATATATATATGCATATATATGTATGTGAAAGTCTAGGTGGGATACTCTGCTTCTCTACTTGTGCAGATTATTAGTAAAGTTATCTTTTGCTATAGGCATCAGCTGTCTCTCAGGTATAATGACCCTAAACCATTTCTGAAGTTATAAAACATATGTCTTAATTTCCCAAGTCATAACACTTTCCAGTTATGTTATATGTTAACATAGACAGAGCTTCTTAATAATTAAATACTTATTTGACATTATATGTGAAACAATGAAGTATACTTTGTGTGAGTGAGTGTGTGTGTGTGTGTGTGTGTGTGTGTGTGTGTGTGTGTGTGTGTGTGTGTGTATGTATGTGTGTATGCCAGTCCTAGGCTTGAACTCAGGACCTTGACACTGTCCCTGAGCTTTTTTGCCCAAGAGTATCACTCTACCATTTGAGCTACAGCTCTACTTTTTTGGTCAATAATTGGAGGTAAGAGTCTCATGGATTTTTCTGCCCAGACTGGCTTCAAACTGCAAACCTCAGATATCAGTCTCCTGAGTAGCTAGGATTACAGGCATCAGCCACTGGCACTGGTCAAACTATACATTTTTAGTTAAAAAATGAAGAGCATTATCTTAGGAAATGCTATTTTATCAAACTTTACAAAAACAATATGTGCAATTCAATCTATCCTCAAAAAATGTATCTACTTCGGAAGCTAGAACTGCATCATTAGTGATTCTCAGGGCCATCTAATATCTGAAGACATTTGTGGTTTTTATGAATGGGCCACTAAACCAGGATGCTGCTCAGTGTTCTGTGGCACAGGACAGGTCCCCAATATGAAGATGGTGATAATGCTGGATTGAGAAATCTTGATACATGTAAAAAGCTCTTGCCCCACAGAGGCAGTACTAGGTAACTGCCCAATGAGTAGAACTTCTTACTTCATTCATTCTATTTGCTCATTTTACCTTAGAGCCACAGAGTAAGAAACTAAGAATATGGAATGGGCTTTTATAGGAGCACCCTATGGGCCTGGTTTTAGTAGTAGAGTAACCTACTCTGCACAAGGCCTTCAGTTGAAAAACACAAAGAGTAACCTGTGAATGTATTTATAGAATTTTCTGGTGACTACTCACTTACTGCCCAAAACTTGTGCTTTTGGGGAGAACTGTCTATTGACATGTGACTGTGGGAAACTCAATCCTATACAAGTTGGAATATGCAGCTCTCTGCTGTTCCATGGCTTTCCAGCTTATTTTGGCATCTTTTGTTTTTATCTGCAAAATCGGGGAGGATGCTGACAAATGAGGTACTGCATGTTCCTTTCCAATGCTGTCATCACTGAGCTGTAACAATGTTACTTGTTGGGAAAGGTTCAAGTTATTTTCTAGAAGCCCACCCAGGGTCACCAGAATGCCAAGTAGTATTTTGATCAGAAAGACTGTAGAAATTAAATGACCCTTATGATATACATTATTTTGAAATCTTGCCTTACAAAATCATAGGATAGAGTATAATGTACATTAATTGTACAAAAGGATAAAATAGAAGACAAAGAGATTGTGATCTGTCTCCTCAATTTAGCAAATATTCATTTTACTATAATGAAGTGAGTACAGTGTGTTGGTTATAGTCTATAGCTACCACAACCACTTTGAAAAGCACATTAAGATCAAAAGGCAGAAGCCAAAGGATTGTGAGCTGTGGGCCAGCCTTGATTGCATAGTGAGACCCTGTCTCAAAAAATCCAAACCAAACCAGATCTGCAAAGTTGATCCTTATATTATTTGTTTGGAGTTTACAAAGAAAACACGAATGAAAAACAGAGAAGAAGGTAAATGGCTCCAAGTCCCATTCCTAGAAATAGCCACCCTTTAACTTTGATGAACATCCTTTCAATATTATTGGAAGGCTAGGTACAGATGCAGGCAGAGAATTTAGTGTGAATCCAATCACAGTACTTGCCTTTGTAAACTGCCACGTAGCTGGCATCTTCCTATTGCAATGGTGCCGACATACGACATACATCAGCTATCTAGCACTTGCCCACTGTTCCATTGTGTTCACAGATGAATTGATAAATCCCCTCTTGGTTGTTTCCTGTTTTTGCTATTACAAAAATGAAACACAGGGCTGGGAAGGTGGCTCAGTGGTAGAGCGCTTGCCTTGCATGCTCAAGGCCCTGGGTTCGATTCCTCAGCACCACATAAGCAAAAAGAAAAAAGCTGCAAGTGGCGCTGTGGCTCAAGTGGTAGAGTGCTAGCCTTGAGCTGAAGAGCTGAGGGACAGTGCCCAGGCCCAGAGTTCAGGCCCCACAACCGGACCCAAAAAAAAAAAAAAAAATGAAACACAATCCTAAATGCCCTGTATCTTTTCCCATTTGTGTGATTATCATTTCAAGATACATGTGTTGGAGGCCTGCTTTGTAAAACTAGTTAATGTTAATTGTACAAAAGAGTTTTGTTGTGGTATTCCCATACTTTCATATAATGTACTTTGGAGACTCTATGATGGCAAAATAATGATAAAATAATAGTTGTTATTTCTTAGATGCCTGGTGTTATAGTTACATATGTATACATTTGTGTTTAAATATATTGTCATTCAGGGTTTTTTTTGTTGTTTTTTAATATGTGTGATGGTACTGGGGCTTGAACTCAGGTCCTGGATGCTTGCTGTGCCTTAGCTTTTCCACTCAAGGTTGTTACCCTACTACTTGATCCATACCTCCGCTTCCAGTGTTGTTGTTGTTGTTTCTGGTTAACTGGAGATAAGAGTATCACAGACTTTTCTGCGTGGGTTAGCTTCCAAACCATGGTCCTAAGTATCTACAAGTATAGCTGTGACCCACCAGTGCCTGTCTCTCATTCAATTCTTATAACAGCCTGTGAACTGAGTACTATCATCTCCATTTTATATGAGGGGAAACTGAGACATGGAGAGGCAAAGTCATCACTAGTGCTATGATATGATTTTCTCGACCCAACTTGCAAGTGAGCCAGGAACTCTTACCTGACTCTCTACTCCGGTTGGCAAACCAAGCTGTGCAGCAGTGAGGGGAGCTAATTCTGTGATGCTGAAGCAGTGCAGAATATTGCCATGCCTTCTAAATCCTGCTCACTGTGCTTATTCAGATCCCAATGGTCTATTGCAAAGTTCTTACAAGTAAGAATTTCATGAGAGTCCTCACTGAACTCTCTCCCACATGTCTTTTTCCTCTTTAGAACCCCAACAAGCACATCTCACAGACTGAAGTGATCATCCGATTTGCTTTCCAGACTTCAATCACCGTGCTGTGCATTGCCTGCCCATGCTCCCTGGGGCTGGCCACACCCACAGCGGTCATGGTAGGCACTGGAGTGGCTGCCCAGCATGGCATCCTCATCAAAGGAGGCAAGCCTCTAGAGATGGCACACAAGGTGGGTCTTCCTCACTCTTCTTGGGGGCTTGGCTAGTGTTTTTTTATAATCCTATTGAAAATACTATTTGTTGTTTCTTATTTGCCTCATTGTGAGATTACTATCAGAGTCCTATGATCTTTCAGTCAGAATAGTGAGTGGCAGTATACATAAAAATACATGAAGAATCTCCCTTTTAGCTGGGTATGGTGTCACATGCCTGTAGTCAGGAGGCTGAGGCAGGATCATGAGTTCCTGGTTTACATAGCAAGACCTTGTTTTGCCAAATATCTTAGCCCCTGATTTCATATCTATTATTTGTTTAGTGTTTGCCCACCACTTCCATGTGAAGGCCTGTGCTAATATCTGGCAATAGTCATGGTTCCTAGCTTCCAGAGAACTTAGAGTGGGATGGGAGAAATGGGTACTGTTAGGTAAATGACATATGTCCAGAATTGTGAGACTGCTGGATGCCTGAAGACACTAATGGGCAGTGGAGCGGTACAATGGTCAGAAAAGGTGAATCTGAGACCTAAGAGTTAAACAAGAGCTAGCCATACAAAGGATAGTGGAGAGAATATCCCAGCAGTGGAACAGTAGATGGAGAAGTTCTGGGAGGCTATGGTACTGGATCATAAACTCTATAAGATCAGGAAAGAAGCTTTTCCTCTCCATTGTGTCCCTAGCCTCCAGCCCAAGACTAGCATATTGAATAAATAAATGAACAAGGAGAAAATCAAAGAGAACATGGTGTGTGTGTGTGTGTGTGTGTGTGTGTGTGTGTGTGTGTGTGTGTGTGTGTGTGTGTGTTCATATATGTGTGTTGCGGGAGGGGTTATGACGATCAAGAAGGTTTGGTGAAGAATTCCAACCTTTGCTCTGAGGAGGGGAGCTATGGCAGGGCAGTGTAATTCCTTGTGGGCTACGAGGCTCCATACTGGGAAGATTTCTCTGGCTGCCGTGAAGATGGCTTCAAGGAGGCAGACATCTTTAGAGATCCTTTGACAGTGCCGAAGACAGGGGCATGTCTGAGCATTGGAATTCAAACACTGCATCTGTTGCTTGCTCCTTGCAGAGGACTAAACTTGTGGGTCGTGGTGTGAGCAGAGCAACATGCTTTCCTTGAATAAGGCTTAGGGATGTATGCATTCCAGTTATTGCTCTTTTCGAATTGGAGGCTCAGCTGCAGAAGTATAGAAGCCATAAAATGGTTGCTTCAGACTGTCTGAGCCCACATGTGAGGAGGGGACTGGCACAAAGCTGCCATCAACCAGGTGCAATAGGTTTCCAATTATGATGGCTGGAGGAATCTCTTCTTTTCTGGAACTTGGACTTCATTCTAGGCAGGCTCTTGAAGCTAGACAATAGGCAGTAAACAGTGCTGGGCTGGCTGGACAGCAGGGGACAGAGAAGGAAACCCCGGGGCCTGACACTTGACTTGCTGTGAAAAATAGTCTGGACAGCATCATCCTGGAAACCATGCCACACCATTGCCAGTACAGCCAAGGGTGTTTATCATATCAACTCCACCTGCTCAAGGGTGAGCCACAATTTGGCCATCTTGATGGGACAGATAGAACACAGTTTTTTCATGGTATCAAGTATTACCCCCAGAACACTAAGTTAAGGAATGGTCAGGTGTGTTGCTCCCTGCCTGCCAGGTTGGGTATAGCTTTGCCTCATGATCATGTAGACTATGAAAGCTCTTTAAATCTTTCTTATCTTATTGAGATGTGGCTGTTTTTTGTTTTGTTTTGCAGATAAAGACTGTGATGTTTGACAAAACTGGCACCATTACTCATGGGATCCCCAGAGTCATGCGAGTCCTTTTGCTCTCAGATGTAGCTACACTGCCCCTCAGGAAGGTTCTGGCTGTGGTGGGCACTGCGGAGGCCAGCAGTGAGCACCCCTTGGGCGTGGCAGTCACCAAATACTGCAAAGAAGTATGCACATTTGGCTTTGTCCCACTGACCCTGTCCTTGACCTTGGCCTCCCCTCAGCTTCATCTTCCTCTCCTGGCCACACACCTATTCTCTTTCCTAGCTGCCTGGTAGAGCCCTTGCTTATGACTGTCAGGGCTCACGATAGGCCCTGTCACAGTTCCAGGTTGCCACAAAGGCAGTTTATTGTCAGAGCCATTTGCTGAGCATGTGTGGCACTGGGTCAGAATGAAATGATTGAGATGTGTCCTCTGTCCTCTTGAAACTGATAGTCTGAGGCAGGGAAGATAGGTGATATAGAAACTTCATCCTTTGTGAGCTTAGTGGAAGGGACACACCCACAGAATGGGCAGGAGGGGAGGACCTGGCAGAGATGAGCAGAATGCCCAAGGATTCTTGTTTCAGCTCATAGGGCAGCATTACTCCTTAGTCTCCCTTCAGAACAGTTTAATACAGAAGCAACAGAACGTGCCAGCACACTGCACTGATTGTTAAGCTGCTCCATCAAGTCCTGGTACCGTAAGTTTCAAGGGCTGAAAAGAACACAGTGAGGCCACCATGACAACTCTTCACCCTTTCTCTCACCATTTCTTTGCTCCCCCTTACCATCCCAAAACAGATACACTTACATACAAGACAACCGATACAGAAATCGAAACAACAAAGGAGGGAGAAAAAAAACAAAATAACAAAATACCTCTTGTTTCCATTTCTTGGGATTCATTTAGGTAAACATTTTATATCATCAAATACACATGCTTTATACCATAGAGTACCTTTCTTTCATTTGAGAAGTTGGGTGTGAATTGCCTTTCTTCTTTCTAGTCTTTAGCCTGTCTACTGTCATGAGGCATCCACTCAAGGGAGGATTTAGACTGGTCAGCCTGGTCCAGCATGATAACTGTAGTAATTGTATTCAATGAGAGAAAAGTACTAACCTTTACCTTCCATTCCACTTCACCCCTTCCTTGCTGCCCTCACCCTGACGTCTGGGGTGCTGCTGTCTGGACACTGCTATCCTGCTATCCTGCTCTCACAGGAACTTGGAACAGAGACCATGGGCTACTGCACAGACTTCCAGGCAGTGCCAGGCTGTGGGATCGGCTGCAAAGTCAGCAACGTGGAAGGTATCCTGGCCCACAGTGAGCACCAGTTAAGTGAACCAGCTGGTCACCTGAAGAGAGTTGGCAGCCTTTCTGCAGGAAAAGGTACCCTTGGCCTTTGTCTCTGATGATGGTTCTGTAGGTGACTGAGACCAGCTGGGTCAAAGTGGAGGCGAGCCAACCACAGAAGCCTGTGCCAGGCTCCATTGGCGGGGATTTCCCCTGCTGTGGAGATAGGCAGCTCATGGCTGGGCATTCTGTGCCTTCCTTCCCCAGAAAGCCCAGAGATTCTGTCTTACATGTTTTAATAAGTCTGAATTTCGTGTGTGTGTGTGTGTGTGTGTGTGTGTGTGTGTGTGTGTGTGTGTGTTGTTTTGTTATGAGATGGGGCTGCTATGTTGCCTAGGCTGTCCTTGAGGGACCACCTGTGTTAGACAAGTTTCAGGTAGACTAATGAATTCAAGTCATCCTTCTACCTCAGCCTCCTAGGTAGCCAGGACTATAGGGGTATGCATTTAAAACATAATACATAACATTATGGCAGGTTATCAGGTGCTGGTTGCTCACACCTATAATCCTAGCTACTCAGGCGGCTGAGATCTGAGGCTCTCTGTTCAAAGCCAGCCAGAGCAGGAAAGTCCGTCAGACTCTTATCTCCAATAAACCACCAGAAAACCAGAAGTAGCACTGTGGCTCAAGTGGAAGAGTGCTAGCCTTCAGCACAAAGAGGCCCAGGAACAGCTCTCAAGCCCTGAGTTCAAACCCCAGGAAAGGAAAAAAAAATTATAGCAGATCAAGTTGATAATGTTATAGTTTCATAGAATGTTATCTCACTGATCTATATTTTTGGGTCTCCACTTTGTTACCCCAAATTGATTTTGCTTCTTATAAGCTACAAAGTAGATAGATGAAGCCTACTTTTTTTGGTGGGGGGCACGGTCATGGGGCCTGAACTCTGGGCCTGGGCGCTCTCCCTCAGCTCTTCAGCTCAAGGCTAGCGCTCTACCACTTGAGCCACAGCGCCACTTCCGGCTTTTTTCTTTTTGCTTATGTGGTACTGAGGAATCGAACCCAGGGCCTCATGCACGCAAGGCAAGCACTCTACCACTGAGCCACCTTCCCAGCCCCAAGATGAAGCCTACTTTTATTCTTCCTGTTTCTTTCCCATGTGTAAACTCTAATGGGATGTGTAGTAATTGCAAAGTTGACAGAAAGTCAGAAAATCAAATGAAATGGTCTGCCCAAACCAAGAAGGGATACTGCTCAGAGTGTCAGCTGCTTTTCCTACTCTAAGAACAAGTTGTCAACTGTCACCTCAAGCTGATAGGAAATACTCAGTGCCTAAAACCCCCTTGCCTAGTTTCTTTTTTTTCTTAAGTATGTTGATAGGTAAATCATGATTTAGAGGATATTGTTAGAAGACAACTTCCACTTTCTTTTCTTTTTTTCATTTTTTTTGTACCTGTCCTGGAGCTTAAATTCAGGGCCTGGGCACTGTCCCTAAGCTGTTTCTTCCCTTTTTTTTTCCTTTTTCTTTTTTCTTCTTTTTTTTCCCTAATACTAGCCACAGCTCCACTTCTGGCATTTTGGTGCTTAATTAGGGATAAGAGTCCCCCAGACTGGCTTCAAACTATGATCCTTAGCTCTCCTAAAGGAGCTAAGATTATAGATGTGAACCACCAGAGTCCAGCTCCACCTGCCATTTTTTAGCAATTAAGACCTTAGGGTGACCATTTCATTAGAGCACTTTGGATCTGGTTAGTGTCTAAGTTAGGGGCACAATGACTAGAATGTGCCAGATAAAAGACTCATCCACTCTTTCTGGAGGCATTATTTTAAAACATATGATGAAAAAGATTTATCTTGATTATTTTCTGGTCTTCCTTATGTCATTTAAACCAAGCAGTAAAGAATCTAGAAACTACTTTGTTTGTTCTGGTCTGAAACCTATCTACCTCTAATCCATGTAGAAAAAGAATCAGCAGATAACAGTAAAGTCAGGTAAGGACAGTACTTGATGTTTAGTATGTATGTTTACCTCATCTTTACACACATACCATGTATTACTAATGCTCCATTTTGATTGATACCCAAGTCTTCTACACATTAATGGAACCTTTTCCCTGGTGGTCCCTTAAGGGTGGTGTTGCAAGAGGGCCTACCAGGTTGTAGATTTTAAATGCTGCAAAAATGCTGGGCTGTTTAGGAATAACTAGTCTCTTTCGAATAGATGCAGCCCCTCAGACCTTCTCTGTGCTGATTGGAAACCGTGAATGGATGAGGCGCAATGGCTTAACCATCTCAAGTGACATCAGTGATGCCATGACGGGTCATGAGATGAAAGGACAGACAGCCATCCTGGTGGCTATTGATGGTAGCTTCCTGCCCAAGCCTTCCACACCCACAAGAACACAGTTCAGGCAAAGAGGCCTCCTTTTCCTTTTCCATCTTTCTTTGTTCTATTTTTCTGGGGCCTTCCTTTCTCACCATCTCCACCTTGACCCAGAGCCATGTCTTCTGTTTGTCTTCTGCTCTTGGAATTCTAAACTGCAGTCATCATCATCTTTGCTTCTATTCAAGTTGCCAGTTCAAATCATCCTCATTCATCACTATAGACTAAACAGGGATCTGCTTCCCAACTTCAGGATGCCTTTAAATATGAAGCCTCTGCCACTGTCCACTATCTGACCACACACTTCAGTGGACTCAGAGCTTCTTATGACCCCACATGTCTTAACATCAAGTACATCCTGGGTTGCATGCCTCAGAGATGGGAACCTTCACTTGGTAACTTGATGTCCTACTAATAGAAATAAAACAACATGCAGATAAATGATTTACAACACTATGTTATGAATACTCCAGCCAAGTTATTCTTCTCCAATTCCCTGGTTTTCCTTTCTCTTAAGTCATTATAAGCCTCCCTCCCCACCCCCAACAAGTCCCTTCAGCTTCTCAAGCCAGAATCTACACAAGTAAAGGCTCTGTGCCATTATAAACTGTTACTCTCTTCCCATTCACACCTCTACCCAGAGCTCTCCTGTTTTTGTGTTTGAAGACTTCTCAGGGGGAAAAAAGAAAGAGGAAGGACATCTATGTTGGATGCTTATTACTTAACATTCATTAAATTTGTTATATCTCTCATATTTTAATAGCAAAATTTGCAAAGTAGTGTATGTATATGTCTTGTGGAAAATTCCAAGGGGTATAAAAAAATGAAATCACCCATCACTCCTAGTCCTGCCCTCATGGAGCTATGAGCATTCTGATATTCTTAGCAGTTATGTATATACTTCTATATATGTATGGGAAGATGAAAGAAGAAAGGGAAGGAAAGAAGGAAGGGAGGGAGGAAGGAAGGCAGGAAGGAAGGAAGGAAAGGAAGGAAGAAGGGAGGGAGGGAGGGAAGGAAGAAAAGAGAAAGAAAGGGAGGAGAAAAAAGAAAGGGAAGGAAGGAAGCAAGGCAGGTCTAAACCATATTATGTCACATACCAAAGTATGTGTTTTGTTTTTTGTGTGTGACCTTATATGATGACAGCCATTATAAATTCTAATGTCATGCTTGCTCAAGGGCCATTCAGTCCCACACTGTTGTTGATTGTGGGTGGTTTGTTTGCTCCAGGTGTGCTCTGTGGGATGATCGCCATTGCAGATGCTGTCAAATCAGAGGCTGCCCTGGCTGTGCACACCCTGAAAAACATGGGTGTAGATGTGGTTCTCATCACAGGAGACAATCGGAAAACAGCCAGAGCCATTGCCACCCAGGTATAGGCATCTTATTTTTGAAATTACCAATTGTGTTAACCTCACAAAAGCAGAAATAAGAAAAAAGCACTACTGTATTCATGCTAAGCTTGACTTCTGCTCTTTCCCCTTTCTACATCCCTGGAAAAAGCAATTCCAGTATTCTCTAAGCATTTCCTAAAAAGATCCTGGCTTGAGAACTACAATTAAAGCTGAGTCAACTGTATGATAAGGGAGGATTTTGGTTTTGTTTGGTTTGGTCATGGGACCTGAACTCTGGGCCTGGGCACTGTTCCTCAGCTCTTCAGCTCAAGGCTAGCGCTCTACCACTTGAGCCACAGCACCACTTCTGGCTTTTTCAGCTTACATGGTGCTGAGGAATGGAGCCTAGGGCCTCGTGCTTGCAAGGCAAGCACTCTACCACTGAGCTACCTTCCCAGCCTGATAAGGGAGTTTTAAGGGCTCATTTATGTACTTGAGTGAATGATTTAATTTTGCACCATTCTCCTGTGTCCATTGGTTCTGAGTTGGGGGCATGTGGACAGATAGTGCTGCTAGGTAGCTACTGGACACCCTCAGCCACCCACAACAATAAATATAGTGTGAATTTCTGAAAATGGTACTTTCACCACACCCTGTGCCCATTTCAAGTGTGTATGGCTATCTGCTTGTGAAAGTTCATAGCTTCTCAGAAGGAAACTACAGTACCTCTCAGTGCATTAATCTTATCTTGCTAATGATGAGCTTGCTAAGTATTCTCTCCACTTTTCCTAGCTTACAGCTTCTTCATCCATTGAGCAATTACCTAACACAGGGTTAGCCACTGGAGCTACACAGAGGAGTAAAGAGGGTCCTGCTTTGAGCACAGTCCTGTGAGGAGGTTGGATCAGTGACCCAGCTCTGAGTGCTCAGGCCTTTTGCAGAAGTGTGCAGTTGGCAAGGAACAATTTACCTAAGCATGGAGTATGCTTGAGCCAGAGTCGGAAGAGATGAAGAGCCAGTGAGAGTAGAGATGGAAGATTGGGAGGAAAACTGAGTTTTTCTAAGGCAGAACAGGCCACTTGAGAATCCACTGGGGATGTAGAATCGCACAGTGATTCCTAGTGGCTATAGATTGCTGGACAGTGCAGTGCTAAGTGTGGGCCAGTAGACAAAAGCCAGATTCAGAGGATCATGGAAGGTGGACCCTAACAGTTTAGGCACTTGGAGGTGGATAGCATCCACCAAAGGGCTGAAGTAGCAGAGTATCATGACCAAATGGTTGCTGTTCTGGACACGCAGCTGAGGAAGCCTTCAGAAGATTGTTCTATGGACAGGTGGGGATGGCGGAGGGGCTGGATTTAAGCCACATTGAAATAGAGCAGGATTCATTTGCCCTGCAACCTCCAGTCTAATTGACAACATGACCGATGACTTAGAGACTGAAGGAAAAGGATAAGGGAATGTGAGGTTTCTGCTTTTGCCCACCTTAGGTATTAATTTTCTTCCTTTTAGGTTGGCATCAGCAAAGTCTTTGCTGAGGTGTTACCTTCTCACAAGGTGGCTAAGGTCCAGGAGCTCCAGAACAAAGGGAAGAAAGTTGCCATGGTGGGAGATGGAGTGAATGACTCCCCAGCTCTGGCTCAGGCTGATGTGGGCATTGCCATTGGGACTGGCACAGATGTTGCCATCGAAGCAGCTGACGTCGTCCTTATCAGAGTGAGCTCTGCTGCATCCAATCAGGAGAGTAGGGAGGGCAGATGGAGGGCCCCTTACTCAGTGTGCTCCTCTCCTACAGAATGACCTCCTGGATGTGGTAGCAAGTATCCATCTCTCCAAGAGGACTGTCCGGAGGATCCGGGTCAATCTGGTGCTGGCACTGATTTATAACATGGTTGGGATACCCATTGCCGCAGGTAGGTGAGACAGGACTCACCTGCTCTGAGCTTTGGCTCCACTGTGACCAGATCCTCTGCTAGATTCTCACAGAACTAGTTGCCTACCTCACTGGGTAGCTTGTCAGATGCACGTGGAGAGGTTGGTGTTTATACATCTAAAATACATCTAGAATAGCAAATGAGAAAATTCTTGGAGGACCCTAAATCCTAGTTTACTTTGATCATTCTAGAAAGCTGGTTAAGATGATTGGCCATTTATTTAGAATGTTCCTGTTTTCAGAACAATTTATTAAGATATAACAATCTGAAAATAACTATCATGTAGCTTTATGGAATATTACATATACATACTAGACACAATGATTATATCTTAGAACTTGTCTTAAGAACAAATCCTCGCCAAGCACTAGTGACTCATGCCTCTAATCTTAGCTACTGAAGAGGCTGAGGTCAAAAGGATAATCATTCAAAGCCAACCCAGACAGAAAATACACTAGATTCCATCTCCAAAATAATCAGAAAAAAGCCAGCTCAAGTCACTTGAGGCATAGCTCAAGTAGTAGAGCACCAGATGTGCAAGCAAGTTGAACAAGTGTGAGGTCTTAAGTCCAAATCCAATACCAGCAAAAAATAAGGAAACCAAGCAAGATAGTGCTTCTGTGTGGGCTGAAGAGACCTGAAGTTGTTTGCTTTTTGTTTTTTTTTTTTTTTTGGATCGGGTCATGGGGCCTGAACTCTGGGCCTGGGCGCTGTCCCTCAGCTCTTCAGCTCAAGGCTAGCACTCTACCACTTGAGCCACAGCGCCACTTACGGCTTTTTTTCAAATTTTTTTTTTTTTTCTGCTTATGTGGTGCTGAGGAATCGAACCCAGGGCCTCATGCATGCAAGGCAAGCGCTCTACCACTGAGCCACCTTCCCAGCCCTGCTTTTTGTTTTTTGTACTAATAATGTGGTTTGAACTCAGGGTCTGGGTGCTATTCCTTACCTATTTTGCTCAAGGCCAGTGCTCTACCACTTGAGCCACAGCTCCACTTCCAGTTTTTTGCTGATTAATTGGAGATGAATCTCATGGGCTTTCCTGCCTGTATGACTTCAAACTGTGATCCTTAGATCTCAGTCTCCTAAGTAGGTAGGATTACAAGTTTGAGCCATTCATGCATGGCTGAGACCTAAAGTTCTTAAACATGACTTTCTTACCTTCGTTCCTCTTTGTGTTTGACTGATGACTCTATCTCAAGCATGGTCAAGTCTACCTTCACCTTGGGGAGTCAAATAGGTATCCTTCTTGTGCCAATAGCCAACTTAGGTACACTCCTTCCTGTGTCTTTACCTCTTACTTGACTGTTGGCTGTACCAAGTTTCCTAGTTCTGTCTGGGACCTGGCTCTCATTTCCTTTTTAAGAACCCCCATAGGCCAGAAAAAAAATCAATGTGGATGAAGACTGTGGCCATCAACAGCATAGCACAGGAAATATCCTGTGAAGCTGAGTCTCCAGGACCCAGGCTCTTGCACCTCTGCTACTCTCCCTCTTCCCTGTCACGGTGGTTCCCAGTCTCTGAATCAGGGGATGCAGTATGGATCCCTGCCAGCTTCCTAGGATGGTCTTATCCCAGAGGCTGCTGGGTAGAAACCTTTCTGAGTGCCTAGGTGGGAACCCCCTGAGAGACAGCTCCAAGGGGCAATTGAGGTACAGTCCTGATTCTCCTTGGGCTGCCAGGTGAGTGTATCTCCTCCCCTTGACAGGAGTCTTCATGCCCATTGGCATTGTGTTGCAGCCATGGATGGGCTCAGCAGCAATGGCAGCCTCCTCTGTGTCTGTAGTGCTCTCGTCTCTGCAGCTCAAATGGTGAGTTCTGAGTGGGACAGTGGCAGAGTTCTCTGAAGGCCTTTTCACCCTGTACAGGAACTCTTCGGGGCCTTTTCACTCTACTTTGGCCTGCATGCACTTTGTATCTGAGATACCCGTGCACTCTCCATTCTCAATCATGTATCCAAGGCAAAGAGGCAGTCCAAGTGGATTTAGGTATTGATTGTCAGTACCACACCAAGTCATTGGCCACTTACACAGTCATCACTTATTGGACTGTTTATGTGGATATCTTGTAGATACAGAATCGCTATGTTTTATCACTTTCCTTTATTTTAACTTGGGTTTTTTTTTTTTTTGTCTTTTCTTTTTTGATACTGGGGATCGAATCCAGGACATTGCACTTGCTAGGCAAGTGCTTTGCCACTGAGCTACATCCCAGCCCCACTTTTTCTTTTTAAAAAAGATGTTCAAGCTGGGAGTGTGGCTTTGTGGTAGAGTGCTTGCCTCACATGAATGAAGCCCTGAGTTTGATTCCTCAGTACCACATAAATGGAAAAGGCCAGAAGTGGTGATGTGGCTTAAATGGTTGAACAATAGCCTTGAGCAAAGAAGTTCAAGGACAGTGCTCAGGACCTGAGTCCATGTCCCAGGACTGGCTAAATAAATAAATAAATAAATAAGATGGTCAACTGGGTGCTAGTTAATCATACTTATGTTCTTAGCTACTCAGGAGGCTGAGATCTGAGGATCCCGGCTTAAAGCCAGCTAGGTTAGGAAAGTCCATGAGACATATCTTATCTCCAATTACCCATCAAAAACCTGGAAGTGGACCTGTGACTCAAGTGTTCAGAGTGCTAGCTTTAAACAGAAATACTCAGTGACAACACCCAGGCACTGAGTTCAAGCCCCAGGACTGGCACACACACACACACACACACACACACACACACACACACACACGCACACATGCACACACACACACGCATGCACTACAAGATGTTCAGGTGAGCCGGGCGCTAGTGGCTCACGCCTGTAATCCTAGCTACTCAGGAGGCTGAGATCTGAGGATCGAGGTTCAAAGCCAGCCCGGGCAGGAGAGACCGTGAGACTCCTATCTCCAATAAACCACCAGAAAACCAGAAGTGGTGCTGTAGCTCAAGTGGTAGAGCGCTTGCCTTGAGCTGAAGAGCTGAGGGACAGCGCCCAGGCCCAGAGTTCAAGCCCCACGACCGACAAAAAAAAAAAAAAAAGATGTTCAGGTGCTAGGAATGTAGAGCTTACCAACAGAAAGCCTACTCAGCATGCTAAAGCCCTGGGTTCTGTTCTTGGGCCTGCACTGCAATGAAAGGGGGAAAAAGATGTTCATTTATTTATTGAGCAATCACTTAAGAAATGGCAGCCCACTATGTGCAAGGTGCCTATGTAGGTGGTTTTGGAATCAGGTGAAATTTACCTGAATATTGGAGTTTAGTGAGGTGTTTTTTGGGGGGTGGGTCAGGGTTTGTGCCAGTCCTAGGCTTGAACACAGCCTGGGTGCTATCCCTTAGCTTTTTTTTGCTCAAGATTAGTTCTCTACTACCTAATTCTGCTTTTTGGTGGTTAGTTGTTGGAGATAAGAGTTCCACAGACTTGTCTGCACAGGCTGGCTTCAAACCATGATCCTTATATCTCAGCCTCCTGAGTAGGTAGGACTACATAATAATCATGGAACATTATGGAATATTGAGCCACCAGTGCTCATCTTGGGTCTAAGTTCTTTACCTATAAATTCTTCATGCTGCTGTCTTTCATGAAGGCTTTCACTAGACATATAAGGAGTGGGGGGAATGAGCTTTATGTTTGTAGGGCTCAGATGCTCTTCAATTCTTGCCTTCCAGCTATAGGAAGCCTGATGTGGAGAGGTACGAGGCTCAGGCCCATGGCCGCATGAAGCCCCTGAGTGCATCCCAGGTCAGTGTGCACGTGGGCATGGATGACCGGCGACGAGACTCCCCCAGAGCCATGGCATGGGACCAAGTCAGCTACATCAGCCAGGTGTCTCTGTCTTCCCTGACGTCTGACAGGCCATCTAGGCATGGCACCGCAGCAGAGGACAGTGGGGACAAGTGGTCTCTGCTCCTTAGTAATGGGGATGAGGAGCAGTGCATCTGAAAGCCAGGGGCCGGGCTCCTTCTGAGGGATGTTGTACCCCTCCCAGGGCTGGCACAGCCCCTACTAGCAGCAATGGGGTGGATAAAGCACACCATAGCCTTGGAACTTCCACTTGATGGATGTTCTGCTAACCCTACTGTGGCATGTGGCCTTGCCTAGAACCCCCTGCCCATACTATGCCACTGGTGTGGGCAAGGCTACACCTCTCTGGGACTACAGAAGAGGAGAGGCAGTCAGTGCTCTTCTCAGAGCTCTGCTTATATTGTTGGGATTGCCACCTGTGAAACAAAGCAAGAACCAGAACCTAGTTGGGCCTCTCCAGAAACCTCCCCTCAGCCTCAGCATGGGGCTTATTTTGACAACACCCATGAGCTGCGTGGGTCAGAGACCACAATTTACCTCAAGTGCACCTGTTTTCTGCTGGCATCATCTCTTCCTTTTCTGTCCTGCATACTTGGCATCCCTGACAGTGGGGATGATGTGCCTGCCTATCCTCTGAGCAGCGCTCTCCCCTTGGACGTCTCTAAATGCTCTCTGGCTTTGCACTTGTAGCCCAAGTCTGCTCCCTAGCCTGCACCTGAGATGGAAGCTGCCACATCCTTCTGCATGCTGAGGAAGGTCCTTTATGGCCAAGACCCACTGCAGTCACACATGCTGCTGCTGAAAAGCTGAGTAAGGCCTCAGAGCCTGACCAATCGTCCTTATCCAGCCTCCTGTGGGGCTCAAGATCTCATGACCCGGAGCATCCCGTGTGCTCCTGAGGCAGGTGTCCCATGGGAGGTGTGTGCCTATAATAAACTCCTGTCACTTAGTGACAGAACCCCTGGAGCAGACCAGAATCATTTCACCCTAAGGTAAAACCCTGGCCTCACACACAAAACAATTTTAGTTCTTTGTTGTGTTCACTTATTTGCCAAGCTTTGCTCTAATTCCCTCTTTGTCCCCTCCCCCCACAAAATAGCATGGCCACTACTATTGTGTACATTTCAGAAGCAAGGCTCAGAGAGGCTGAGCTTGGTGCCCAGAATCACACAGCAAATACATATTCCAGGTCTGTTGCTTTGAAGACCTTTCTGTGCTCTGCTGCTGCCTTAAGTGTCAATTTGCCTGACAAGATTAACTACATGAAGGTTTTTTTCACTCTTGGAAGAGCAGGTCTGCCAGGTGATATATTAGTTGTATCAACTTAGAATACATCAGGGCATGATATCTTTTCTCATTTACATGGTAGTTACTTCAGTTTTTACATATAATGTAGTTTGTGCTGGATTTTGGCTTCTAAAATCCAAGTTCAGGGTTTTCTTGTGTTTTTCTTGTTTTCTGTTTTCCTGCCTTTCTCCATCAGCCCCTTCATATTCTCTGTCCCCATTCTGCCCTGTTTATATTCTTGTTTTGAAACTAGGCTAATCATTTTGTACTGAAGCTAATTGTAATTTTTTTAACTCCTAGGGCCATATCATCATGTTTGTATGTGGACCTGAAAATGTTTATATGATTGTACAGAAAGTAACTTTTTAGATATGCAAAGTGTCAGGGATGTGTTTGGTCAGATAGTAGTTCCCATGTCAAAAGACTTTCCATGAACTAGGAGAATAAAGTTTTATTTTATTCACCCACAAGTCTGCCTGTGGCTGCCTGTGTCTGTGTGGGCAGCTGTCCAGCCCATGTGGTCTGTCTCCAATGAAGACTTCTACGAGGAGCTGGCTTAGCCAATGCCTTTAGAGGGTACGATAGGAGGATTTTAACTTGTGACATGAAGATGGCCAGAACCATGTTGACATGACTCTACCTACCACTGGCTCAGCCCTCTTCTGAATGCTGCAGGTGGCCAGCCTCAATGGCATTTGGGAGAGCGAGAGGCAGTCCCACTGTGCCAAGCCAATCCAGAGTATGATTACCCCACCTGTGTCCTCATGAACTTCTCTAGATAATTTGTCTCCAAAGAGGCAATCAGGATGAATGTGTTTGGGGCACTTCGAACCTTAAAGAGCAGGATAGGTAAATAAGAAAATCTGGAATGGGGATCTGCAGGGAAAGTTTTGTAGGCATTTAGGGTTGCCAGGAGGCCAAAAGTGAACTAATACCCAGAAAGGATGGCAGCATAATTTGTTACCCAAACAAGGACACTTGTAAGAGTGGAAAAATGTAGTAGGTTCCAGAAGTATGCTGACGACATGGTCCTTAACCTGGTTTTGAGAACCTGACCACCAATATCTACATCCTGACCTCAGCATTTTTCTGTTGAATCTTAAAGGTGGAGCTCAATAAGATGGCAGAGCAAGATGGCCAGCCTTGAATACTCCTATGTGCTGGTGTGTTTTGTGGCCTCACATGCCCTGAAGGATTTCTTGCAGTCCAGGGTTAGAATGTTCTATTGTTATTTACCTTTCTCACTCCAGAGAGGGAATACTACCTTAGGAAGAACTCAACTTCTTTGAAGACAAAACTTTCCTGGCAGGATTCCTTATCACCAGTCTAAATTATAGCATCTGTCCATCCCAGATATATTTTCAATCAGTAAGACCTTAGTGAAGGCTGAGTGCTGTAATCCTAGCTACTCAGGAGCCTGAGATCTGAGGATTAGGGCTCTAAATCAACCCAGGCAGACAAACCTGAGAGACTCTCATCTCCAAATAACCAGCAAAGATATCAGAAGTAAAGGTAGAAGTAAAAGTAGAATCCCAGTTTTGAACAAAAGAAAGAGAGAGATGCCCTAAGTTCAAGTCCCAATACCAACATACACACACTAAAAAGGACAATGAAGAATTATGACTACCTTTTTAATAATCACTCAAGTTCTTTTTTTTTTTAATGGTATCTGGAAATTGACATTTCACAACGTAGATTCCTAAATTCTTCTATTTTATTAAGGAACCAAAATTAATAAAAGTGCCCTTCATATGTTTTAAGGAAATCTAAAGCAGCCAGTCACATAATTTAATTAGATAAAATATGACTTGATTGCAGGGTCAGGGGATGCTTTAAAAAAGTCATTTTGGCTGGGTGCTGGTGGCTCATGCCTCGCTACTCAGGAGGCTGAGATCTGAGGATCACAGTTCAAAGCCAGCCAAGGTAAGAAACTCCATGAGACTTTTATCTCCAATATACCACTAGAAAACCAGAAGTAGTGCTATGGCTCAAGTGGTAGAGCACTAGCCTTGAGCTGAAGAGCTGAGGACAGTGCCCAGGCCAAGTTCAAGCCCTATGACCGACAGAAAAAAAGATAAAAAGAAAGAAAAAGTAATTTCAGTGAGCTATAAGTTTAGATCAGTGGTAAAGTGCTCGCCTAGCATGTTCAAGACCCTGGGTTCCATCCCCAGCATCACCCCCCAAAACAAACTCCCATTAATATTTTATTCCATACATTCCCTAGCATACCTACAATCCCAGGGTTATAAAAATTAATTTGTGCACAACCTTCCCTTTGGTCACCATCTTTCATGGGAGCAAGTACATCAGGAAATGCGGTAAGCAGTGGCCTCTGCCCATTCTCTATCCCTCTTTTTTCTTACCTGGTTGTGTGGGAAAGCTGATTTGGTACTGAAAAGTACTGTGAGCTGGCAGGGAAAAGCCACTCCTTTTTCTTCATTTTCACTTGGGTAGGGCCATAAGCACCATTGTTTGGGCTCATTTCAGAGGAAGATGTCTACTTGTCTGCCCTTCTCCTTTGTGTGAAGACAATAAGTGCTGAAATTACAGGATAGAATGTGAGAATGTTAAGTAATCCTGAGAAATCCTAGCATCTCCTTTATTCTATTCAAAATGATGAAAACACAGAAATGAAACATCATCCAAGGACTAAATGCAAACAAGAATCTATGGAAATTCAACATTTTTCTCTCTCCAAAATGGAAATAGATATTACATCTCTTAACATAAACAAAATGGACTGAGCTCAGTGGTAGAACATTTGTCTGGTATGCATAAAGCTCTGGGTTTGAGTCCCAGTGCCAAACAAACAATGTAAAATATAGAAAGTAGGCAGGAAAGGCTGGCATAATAATTCACCCAGGCCTAAGGAGGAAAACTTGGTGAATATAGTTTTTGTGGGAGAGTGTCCTTTGTCAGTGGATTGCATCAAGATACCGAGAAAGCAAAGCCTTACTACTTTTTTTTCTTTTTCTTTTTTGTCAGTTATAGAGCTTGAACTCAGGGTCTAGGGGCTGTTCCTGAGCTCTTTTGCTCAAAGCTAGTGCTCTACCACTTTGAGCCACAGCTCCACTTCTAGTTTTCTGGTGGTTAACTGGAGCCAAAAGACTCATGAACTTTCCTGCCAGGGCTGGCTTTGACCCAAGATCCCCAGATCTCAGCCTCCTGAGTAACAAGGATTACAGATGTGAGCCATGAGCACCAGGTGCCTTACTGCTTCTTATTCAACCTCTAGACTGCATTGTAGCCATTGACCTCAGAGGTGATTCAGTGGGCCTCAGGAATGACCAGCTGGGGGCTGATCCAGGTCTCAGGAATGTCAGGCAAGGACATCAGGCTTTGGTGTGCTACAGATTCTGTCCTCAGGGCTGTGCTTCCAGTCCTGGAGATGACTTTGAAAGCAATTGCCATCACTTTCTATTTCCACTAATGGGAAACCAGGCATTAGGGTGGTTGAGCTGGCTCTCTTGGAGACAGCTGATGCACTCAAACCCTCTCAGTTCTAGCCCCAGAGTCTGCCATCCATTGTGCTTGCTGTGGAGAAAGTCTTCTCCCCACAAAGGTGAATCTGTGCTTGGTTTAGGTGAGGATTGTCTTCGTGCGCTTTGTCTCCAACACCACCAGATGTCTCTCTGACCAAACCAACATCCCAGTCTGCAGCAGGAGCCGAGTCTCCATATCATTTCCTTGTAAGCAGTTGGAAATGGAAGTAAATGTCATCATAATGAGAACATGGGGGGAGGGGGGCGGAAGGAGCAAGAGGCTTGCATTCAGCTCTGATACCTGGGTGCTTCTGACCTGTAATATATTCACTATCTGATCTTGCAGCCAAGATTCAGAGTATAAGATGACTCCATAGTCACTGTCCTTATCTATTCTTATGTGAATCTGAGCTTCCTAGTTCCCTGCAAATTTGGATACTAGTAACATTTCAAAGGAATGTTGGTTCTAACATTCTCATGTTTACATTGAATTGGAGGACTGTACCCCAACAAACAATATCATAAACAATATCATTTCCACAGCTCGTTCCCTGGTGGCCTGAAGATTGATTCTTCCCAAGGCCACTTGTCCCCAAGGAGGGCTTCTCTGACCCTGTCTTTGCTCATATGTTTGATGAGAACTGCTCTCTTCACTGTCCTGACCTACAAGGAGGAAATGCTTAAGAAACCATCACCACATACCAAGTGGCTGATGTTCTCAGGTAATCTCAACAAGCCACAGTATGTGGTCCTGTCTCTTTCAGATCACCTTACTTTGTGGCATTTGAAAAAAATAGCCAAGTGTGATTGAGCACTTCTGTGTCTCATCTCTAGAAATGGGGATAATAATAGTTCTTTCTCAGCCTCGCTGTGAGTATTTGATAAGATCATCTGGATAAAGTCATGCAATAGTGCCTGCCACATCCTGAGTGCTCAGCGGGGGTTAGCTGCTGGTGTTATGAACCGTGTATTCTAGGAAGACAAAACAACCCAGCCCTTTCTATTCCCCCTGAGGAGGTAAAAGCTGTTTTTGTATGTTCCCTGGCTGAGCTGGAGAAGGAGGTGCTGCTATTTAAAGGTCTGCTTTTCACCCCATCTGCTGTGGATTGAACCTGGGGCTAATTCATGCTGAGCAGGGGCTGTACCACTGAGCTCTCCCATCCCCCCAAATGGGCTTCTGAGATGGTATGGACTGTTGGTAGAAATTCACTTAAGAAAAATGACCTTGGTACATTTGCTGTTATACCTCAGGCTGGACCCCTGGTTCTCTTGTTTTCCCGGGGTCCTGTTATGTGACCGATAGCATGGCATACCCTGCTTTCAGAGAAGGACATTCCAATGAGAGTCCACGAAATACATAGAACATTAAAATCACTGTTCCTGGAGTTGGATAGATCTGAGTTCAAACCCTAGTAAACCTCCCTTCCTTACAAAACCTATAATTTAGGGCTGGGGTCATGATTCAAATGGTAAAGTATCTGCCTAGCAAGCTTGAGGCTCTGAGTTCAAAACCACAGTATGGGGCTGGGAAGGTGGTTCAGTAGTATAGTGCTTGCTTGCATGAGGCCCTCGGTTCGATCCTCAGCACCACATAAGCAAAAAAAAGCAGAAGTGGTGTATTTCAGGTGGTAGAGTGCTAGCCTTGAGCTGAAGAGCTGAAGGACAGCGCACAGGCCCAGAGTTCAGGTCCCATGACCAACAAAAACAAACCACAGTAAGACAAAACAAAAGAGTGAAAAACCTTGGTTCTTCCCATTGAGGAAGTCACTGCCATGCTAAGATTTCAAATCAGTATAAAAATGAATGCAACTGCTTCATTGACTTGTGAAGGTTAATTGGAATTATGTGTGTAAAGTGCCTAGCACAACTTGTGACATCTAGTAGACACTTTCACACTTGTGAAAGGCAGTCTTTTCTAGAATGAGGCTGCTGTGATGTCCCATGGAAGGACCTGGGGGAAGATCTGGAATGTCCTGAAATAGGA